GTCAATTAACTAAGTAAGTGGTGGGGTTAGGACGAGGATGATAAGTGTTCTGATCCTTCTGCAAGTATGATTTCATACCTTTTTTCCCATCAACTTCAAGTGGACTTACATCTCATTATTAATTTTTTAATTAAATTTATACTCTAGGTAGAAAGAGAGAGCACTGGTATATTTTTTAAATATTTTATTTATTTATTTTCAAAAGAAAGAGAAAGAGAGTACACATGAGCATGGGGAGGAGCAGAGGGGGAGGGCAGGAGATGGGGGAAGAATCTCAAACGGACTCCATGATGAGCTCAGAGACTGATGTAGGGCTTGATCTCATGACCCTGAGATCATGACCTGAGCCAAAACCAAGAGTTGGCTGCTCAACTGATTGAGTCACCCAGGAGCCCCAAGAGTACTGGTGTCTTTATCAGCCAATCATTCTTAGAATTTAGTTAAATACTTTGAGTAAAAACTCATCTCTTGAGAGATTTGCAAAACTGACAGAAGAGTATTTTCATTTACTTAATTTTCTAAAGATTGTAGTTTTCTTTACGAACTGTTCTTTATACAGGAAAGAGAAAATGGCACTACAGACAAAGGGCTGATATCCAAGATCTATAAAGAACTTCTCAAACTCAACACCCAAAAAACAAATAATCAAGTCAAAAAATGGGCAGAAGACATGAACAGACACTTCTCCAAAGAAGACATACAAATGGCTAACAGACACATTGAAACATGTTCATCATCATTAGCCATCAGGGAAATTCAAATCAAAACCATATTGAGATACCACCTTACACCAGTTAGAATGGCAAAAATGGACAGGGCAAGAAACAACAAATGTTGGAGAGGTTGTGGAGAAAGGGGAACCCTCTTGCACTGTTGGTGGGAATGCAAGTTGGTACAGCCACTTTGGAAAACAGTGTGGAGGTTCCTCAAAAAATTAAAAATAGAGCTATCCTATGACCCAACAATTGCACTCCTGGGTATTTACCCCAAACACACAGATGTAGTGAAAAGAAGGACCATATGCACCCCAATGTTCATAGCAGCAATGTCCACAATAACCAAACTGTGGAAAGAGTTGAGATGCCCTTCAACAGATGAATGGATAAAGAAGATGTGGTCCATATATACGATGGAATATTACTCAGCCATCAGAAAGGATGAATACCCAACTTTTGCATCAACATGGATGGGACTGGAGGAGATTATGCTAAGTGAAATAAGTCAAGCAGAGAAAGTCAATTATCATATGGTTTCACTTATTTGTGGAACATAAGGAATAGAATGGAGGACATTAGGAGAAGGAAGGGAAAAAATGAAGGGGGGGAAATCAGAGTGGGAGGTGAACCATGAGAGACTATGGACTCCGAGTAACAAACTGAGGGTTTTAGAGGGGAAGGGAGTGGGGAGATGGGTTACCCCAGTGATGGGTATTAAGGAGGGCACGTATTGCATGGAGCACTGGGTGTTATACACAAACAATGAATCATGGAACACTACATCAAAAACTAATGATGTACTATATGGTGACTAACATAACATTTTACATATATATAAAACTTATAAAGCTCAACACCCTCTAAAAAAATTAAACTCCCAAAAAACAATCCTATTAAAAAATGGGCAGAAAACCTGAATAGACATTTTTTCAAAGATGTACAGATGACTAACAGACACATGAAAAGATGTTCAACAGCACTCATCATCAGGGAAATTCAAATCAAAACTACAATAAGCTACCACCTCACACCTTTGAGAATGGCTAAAATCAACAACAGCTGTTGGTGAGGATGTGGAGGAAGTAGAATCCTCTTGCATTTCTGGTGGGAGTGCAAACTGGTGCAGCCACTCTAGAAAACAGTATGGAGGTCCCTCAGAAAGTTAAAAATAGAACTACCCTATGATCCAACTATTGCACTACTAGGTATTTAGCCAAAGAATACCAAAACACTAATTCAAAGGGATACATGCACTCTTATTTTTCTAGAGTATCATTTACAATAACCAAGATATGGAATCAGCCTGTGTCCATCAACTGATGAATAGGTAAAAGATGATGTGGTATTTATATACAGTGGAATACTATTCAGCCATAAAAAATAATGAAATCTTGCCAGTTACAGTGATGTGGATGGAGCTAGAGAGTATTATACTCAGTGAAATAAGTCAGTCAGAGAAAGACAATACCATATGATTTCTCTCATACGTGGAATTTAAGAAACAAAACAGATGAACATAAGGGAAGGAAAGAAAGATCAGCAAACCAAGAAACAGACTCTTAACTATAGAGAGCAAACTGATTTACCAGATGGGAGGTGGGTGAGAGGATGGGTTAAGTAAGTGATGGGGGTTAAGGAGTCCACTTGTCATGATGAGCACAGGGTGATGTATAGAACTGTTGATTAGTATAGTATACACCTGAAACTAATGTAACATTGTAAGTTAGCTAACTGGAATTAAAACAACAACTTAAAAAAAGTGATAATATTAAAAAAGTTAAGAATAGAACTACCCTATGATCCAGTAATTGCTCTACTAGGTATTTACCCAAAGAATATTAAAACACTAATTTGAAGGGATACATGCACCCCTATGTTTATAGCAGCATTATTTACAATAGCCAAGATATAGAAGCAGCCTAAGTGTTCATTGACTGATGAATGATTAAGAGGATTATTTATAAATATATAATATATAAATATTACATATTTAATCATATTCAGCCATAAAAAAGAATGAAATCTTACCATTTGCAACAACATGGATGGAGCTTGAGAGTATAATGCTAAATGAAATAAATCAGCCAGAGAAAGACAAATATAATATGATTTCCTTGTATGTGGAATTTAAGAAACAAAACAAGTGAGCAAAGGGAAGAGAGACAGTGAGGGATAGAGAGAAGTCAAAAGCAGACTCTTAATTATAGAGAACAAACTGATGGTTAGTAGAGGGGAGTTGGGTGGGTCAAGGTTAAATATGTGATGAAGATTAAGGAATGTACTTGCTGTGATGAGCACCAGGTTTGTAAGGAAGTGTTGAATGACCCTATTATGTACCTGAAACTGATATAACACTATATGTTAACTAATTGGAATTAAAACAAAAACTGCAAAAAAGGAAAGAGTACAATACTCATCATGAAAGATTGTAAGTACCAAATGAATTAATCCATGAAAAGTGCTTAGTACAGGGCATGGAAGAGTAAAAGTTCAAGAGATAGTGACTATCATTTTTATAGTTGTTATTGTATGTATAGTGTAGTTTGATTCTTAAAAATCTTAAATAATGTAAACATCAAATCTAACAGTGCTCATGTTACAAGTGAGGAAGCTGAAGTTCAGATTTAACTTGCTCAAATTCTCAGAATGAAGTAGATGCAGAGTCAGGCCCTTCTCTGTTTCCTGACTTCCTCTTCAATGTTCTTCTCAGTGCTACTGATCCCACTGCAGGATTGGAATTCTTCCCCAGAGAAATGCTGTGCATGTTTTCTGGGACATTTATCTTCACATCTAGAAGGTCCTAACAAGAGGCCAGAGGCAGTTCAAAAATACAGTCACCAGGTCAGACAGAAATTAACACTAGTCCAATGAGGCATGGGTTTTCAGCTCCTCATTAGGAAAAACCATAAAGGGGAGGTGTGTGTGTGTGTGCACGCATGCACGTGTGCATGTGTGTGTGCCTGTGTGTGTGTGTGTGTGTCTGTTAGGGTTTTAGTTGTAAAATACAAAAAAGGGGCTCTCCAAAGCTCAGGGTTCTCTGTGTGAGGAACCCAATGGAAAACAATGATTAGAAGTTCAAATGAGGTGGACTGAATGAAATAACCAAAAATCAAGGGACAACCAGACAAGAGGGATTGAATCTGGGAAGCAGAGGTGCTTGACAGAATTCCATGTAACAGTGTCAGGGCCTGAAATGCTGTAGTCTTCGCTTAGCCTTTTTCCAGTCCCAAATCATCTGTATATAATTACCCTTGGCAAGCATGTGGAGGAGATACTGTCTGTCCTTGGGGTCTCACTACCCCTTTCTACACAGATCACCCCTCCCCAACCAAGGCCTCTCTTATCCCTCCAATTAAAAAAAGAAGCCAAGCTTAGACTTTACTTACAGTTTGGTATGAATTTGTTGATGTATTTCTCCTTTTGGAGGTGTTTATATTTTCAATGTTTAGTAGACTGTGAGCAGTGCCAAACCTAGGGGTAGACTGCTGGTGAACTTACAGTCACTCTGGGACTTGTGAAGTGATGCAATTAAGCTTCTTAGTAAGCCTAATGCCTCTCTCTTGCTGATCACAGATATGTACCAATTAAAAGTCATTGAAAAGTTAACCTAATAGACATACCACTACCTGGTCAATGGGCAAGTACACTGGATGTTAAACTTAATTTTCCCTTTAAGAAAAATATAATAGACCCCAAATGAGCACTAATGGGAACACTTACCACCAAAGAGGTGGAGCTATTGGAGAAAGTGATTCAAAGATATGAGATATGGGAATATATATCCCCATGACAACTTTATCCATGGGCTTGCCAATTATTTAAGCTTTGATTTGTAGAAAGCTCTTTCATACACTTAATCTCTTATACTCTGAAGCCCACAGGCACCCACTCCCAACACTCTGTTCATTTGCAAAAGTGTATCAGGCAGGAGTTAACAGTATGACTGCTGAATATTGCACAGGTCAGCAATGTTGATCTCTCCTTCCTAGGCCCATCAGAAAGGAAAATACCACCATACTGGAGTGAGAAAACTCATCCCAAAGTCACCCCCCTACCTCTGAGTCTTGTGGAAGAAACCTAAAATAAACACAGCCTGGGAGATCAAAGACCAGAGAACCTTACTGGCTCCATGGAAAGTCAAGTCAACACGCTGGGGTAGGGGGGATTTCTTCACTCACCCTGAACCTCCAATCCCAGGCAGGGGAGGGTGGAGATACTCACGTGACTTGTGCTGAAATAGGGAAGGAAGGAGAATGTGAGATGGGGCTGGGAATCCAAATGAGAGATATAGAGAAGGAAGGGAAGTGAGCAAGCACAGACGCTGGCAGCCATCAGAAGTTCAAGCCTCTTTGACAACAGGAGGCGAGAAGAAAGGACAGAAGTGGTTCTGGCTGCAATGGGGCTCTTACTGGGCCTCCTGCTCCTGGACCACCTAACAGTGGTCGCCTATGGTAAGGCAGCAAATGGGGGCCTGGTTACCACTGCTGGCACCAGCAAAAGGCTGGGGGTTTGGGATTGAATGGCTACTGGGGAAAGCCTATTCCTGCTGAATAGGTGAATGTTCTCAGACTGTGCTGCAGACTCTCTCAGCTTTGGGTAGTTGAAGCCTGCTGAAGAAGCCAGGAGGTAAGTTTGGATGGAAATTGAAAAAGATCCTCTCTTGAAAAACATCCACATGATTTACTAGTACTTGTCATATCTCAGGGACATTAAGAAGGTGCCCAATGCCATCCAAATCCCTCCTCCATCTTATTTCACCTGAAATTCTACCATTATACATTAACCCCTCTGTCTCCAGGTCTTGATCCCTGTTAATATATACAACCCTCAAAGAAGGAATGTTGTCTAAAAGCTAGATGGAACCTTAAAAGTGACCTAGAACTTGGCTGTTATGAACAGTGCTCAAAATATCTGTTCACATAACTTCCAGTGACTGAGAGTTGATGACATTTCCAGAGTATCTAGTCTATCCAGGGGCAGCTACAAATGTTAAGATGTTCTTTCTTGTGTTGAACTAAATATACTTCCTTGTGGCTTCCATTCTAAGGCCCTAGCTCTTTTTCTTAGAGACACATAGAACATATCTACTCCCTCGATGCTGTGACAGCCCTTTAGAGTTCTGAGGGCAGACATCATTCCTCTTGATTCATCTCTTCTCCAAGATAAACAAGCCCTAACTCCTTCAATTGGTCCTCACAGGACTTGTTTCTTACCATCTCCTGGGGTAACTCAGTTTCCTGTGAATATGGCCCAGTTTGTCCAGGCTACGTGTGGGAAATTAATGCTGGATATGTATCCGAAAAGAGGTCTTACTATCCCATAGAAGCATTATTTCCTTGAGTATTCCTCCATCCTCTTTTACATCCCTGAGAATTGAGATAGACTTTTAGGTAACTAAGCCTAAGTAATAACTAAGAGAGACCCAAGATACAGCAAAGGGATTCTTACTGCACATCTACTTGTTCCATATCTTTAGAGGGAGATGCCAGATATATGTTAGCTTGGTGTCCCTTCTATTCAGTGTTTCTCTAGGCTCTCTGAAAACCACAAGGATAGTTGGAAGGTATAAGTCAATTCTATTGAGGTTACCTTCACTTTGGAAATCAGAGTACATAATATACAATGTCTTTTTTAGGTGTGTGATGCTTCGTGCCTACCATAAACTGTCTCTTTGTGATATTAATGAAGCAGGAGGAGAAAGAGGAGGAAATGAGAAGGAGGAAGAATAGAAATTAGATGGAAGGATACACTGAAGGGAGGAAAGAAGAAGGAAGGGAGGAAGTAAAGGGGGCAAAAACATGTAATTCTTTGAAGTCTGGTTACTAATCTGTCCCATGCCCCTATTCTGGAATGTAGGAATCAAGCCTGACATACTTTTAGAAGTGACTTTCAAGATTGAGAAATTGAGACTGGCTATTCACATAATTGACTGGCCAGAGTGGGCTATGTGAGAATCCCCAGTAAGTTCCCAGAGAGGGTAATGCAAGCCAAGCTTTGCAGTTCCCCCAAGGCCAGAGGGAAGATATACATACACATAGACAAAGGCATTTTCAGCTGTTCCAGATGTCCTCACAGCAGAATGCTGTTTGTTGTCAGGAAAAGTATACAAGAATTCTTTTCAGAGGAGGGGCAGGAGATTTGTGAGAGCTGGAAGATTAATGGGAAAGAGCACATTAAACTGAAAGGTTCAGATGGTTTTCATGGGGCTTAGGGCTGGTATGTGTGTGCTTGTAAGTGACACATGCATGTTCATGATGATGATAAGCTGCATCTGAATGCATATGGAGGCCTGAACTAGCAATAGTACAGTGACACTCACCACCATCTGGTGAAAGTTCACCACCAGCTAGAAAATGTAATTATTTAACTTCCATTTCCATTATAGCCTATTAGCATTGAATCATCTAGGATTGGAGGGGATCTTAAGGAGTAATGCTGTCCAAGACTTAAACAAAGCTCAGAACTTCTCCCAGACTGCTTAGTTCATCAATAAACAGCTCTAATTAATTATAAAGTTCATTGTTAGGGCAAACCAAAATCTGCCCCTGTTGCACTCCCATTCATGGGTCTGAGTTCTGCTCCCTGCCTAATCTGAAACTCTCCAGAGACTATGTGACGGATTTAGCAACATGGACTCATGTTTATTTATTCTTTTCTACTCGAGGCCAAATATGCTAGTGATGTTCTGATGTTCTAAGAATCCATGGTGAGGGCACAGGCTAGAGGCCTGACTTTAGTCTCTCCCCTGGGACTTGGTACTTGGCAACAAATTCTGGGAGCTAGAAGGCATGCTCCCACCCTACCATTTGTTTGATTGAAGCCTGAGAATCCTGGGCTACATAACAGGCTTTTATTCAGTAATATCTCACATTTTGAACCTCCTTCTTCTAGGACAGACATAAATAAATTGTCTACATAGAATCCCTCACTCCTGGTTGGAGTTAAATAAAACACAAAATCCTTAAAATATGAGCTTATGAATGAAAATTTCTTTTTTTAAGATTTTTTTTTATTTCAGAGAGAGAGAGAGCATGAGAAGGGAGAGGGGCAGAGGGAAAAGGAGAAGCACACTCCTTGCTGAGCAGGGAACCTGACACAGGGCTCAATCCCAGGACCCCAGGATCATGACCTGAGATGAAGACAGACACTTAATTGACTGAGCCACCCAGGCACCCTGAATGAAAATTCTAATAGGAAGTGATGCCTCTCTCAACACTCCCAATTCCTCTCCACCATGTTTCCCTCCCCAGCACACCAAGGAACAATCTCTTTTTGGTCCTACTACCATTCCTACCACAGCCAGCTTTAGGATTTTATTCAGACCCCTTTCCTTTCCAGACATTTTCCTCTCCATTCCTCCTCAAGATGGAATTTTCCAATGTACCTTTGGTGAAATCTAAGAGAAAGCAAAAGGGAAATAAAGATAAATCAGAAAAAAAGTTCAGGCTTACAAAGTGCAGATTTCAAACTTAACAATAACCAATGATTTTGTTAAACAGGAGTACATTTCACACAAGTTTCCACCCTCAGAATTGCCCTGTGTCCTTCCTCCCTTCCAGAGAAGGGCTTAGGGTCAGGGACCCAAATACTGAGGCTTTCTGAGGGAGCAATAGGGAATAAGCGGGGAATATGGCCCTTTCTTTCTTAGCCCTGCAGCCCCCACATTTCTCCAGGTATATAATTACATAATAAAATAACCTAGACACAACAGTTCAGCATTTGCTCCTACACTTCTTTTGGAAAATACTGAAAGAAGTTCTTTTTCATAGACTTACAGAACTTCAGAGTTTAAAGAATCCCTAGAGATCATTCCATTCAAACTCTCTACATTATAGATGAAGAAAATGGGTCCTCATGGTGGAAAGTGACTTATCCAGGGTCATCTCACAGCAAGGCAGTGATGGGAAAGGAACTTGAAACAGACAAGAGCCAAACAGTGTTAAGAGTTTTCCTTCTGAGGACTGGTTCTGATTGATGGGAAGGCTGACAGAGAACAAAAGGGCACATGGAATCTAAAAGTATGATGGAAGGAAATTTGAGAGGTGTTTCTCAGAAGTCTCTTGAGGTCTGCCACTGCCATCCTAGCTCCCAAGCGGGTGTGCCATCTATGTCCACTTTCTTCCTCCTTTTCAGGCCATCCCATCCTGGAAGCACCTGAGAGTGTGATAGGGCCTTGGAAAGGAGATGTGAATATTCCCTGCACCTATGGTTCTCTGCAAGGCTACACTCAAGTCTTGGTAAAGTGGCTGGTACAACGTGGCTTGGACCCAGTCACCATCTTCCTACGTGATTCCTCTGGAGACCATATCCAGCAAGCAAAGTACCGGGGCCGTCTGCAAGTGAACCACAAGGTTCCAGGAGATGTGTCCCTCCAACTGAATACCCTGGAGATGGATGACCGGAGCCACTACACATGTGAAGTCACTTGGCAGACCCCTAATGGCAACCAAGTGGTGAGAGATAAGATCATTGAGCTCCGTGTCCAGAAACGTGAGTAACTGTGATGATAGGAAAGCACTGAGTGACAAAGAACAAATAGAGGACTATAATACTAGGAAAGCTTTAGAAATCCAGAGAATTTTATTTACTTGTACACAGGCTTTCTTCAGTCATATGTGCTAATCAGGGGAAGTGGACAGGGAGAGGATCCTCAAGGTCATCACTCTCACAGTATAATTTAAGAAATGTTGGGAAGGGTTCCTGGCTCTCAAATCTCTACCCCTTCAAGCATCCCAGAAATTCTAGCATCCACACCCTGGTTGCCCTCCTTCAGCTATGGGTCTTAAAACTCATAAAAATAAGTATATCTATCTTATCAGAGTATTGGAGAGTAAATAGATGCTGACAGAGAAGATCTGGGGAAAGAGATATGGGGGTTAGCCAAGATACATTTTGCTGACTTGACAGTTTTGTGAAAACCTGGCCCTGGTAATCCAAAACTGCAGATAATCCAAAATCTCTATCTACTAAAGGCTAAAATAATCTCTCTATATATTTAAAAAAAATTAGTTGATTTGTAAATCCAAATAATCCAAACCTCCAGATAACACAAAACAGTACCTAATCTTCCAAAGAAAGCTATTTTTATTTACATTATCCTATTTCTTACCCCCTCCTAAGTCAGGAGCCCCTTTTAGTTCCCTTTGCAGTTATATAATTATCCCTATATCCAGCAAGGATGACTCAGCCTTGTCTTCACATATTCTTGTAACTTCCCAGAGCCTCCTCTCTTGTCTTCACTTTGCAGTCTCTGTTTCCAAGCCCACAGTGACGACTGGCAGTGGCTATGGCTTCACAGTGCCCCAGGGAATGAGGATTAGCCTTCAATGCCAGGCTTGGGGTTCTCCTCCCATCAGTTATGTTTGGTACAAGGAACAGACCAACAATCAAGAACCCATCAAAGTAGCAGTCTTGAGTACCTTACTCTTCAAGCCTGCCGTGGTGGCTGACTCGGGCTCCTATTTCTGTACTGCCAAGGGCCGGGTAGGCTCTGAGCAGCGCAGCAACATTGTGGAGTTTGTGGTCAAAGGTAAGCAACCCTTTCTCTTGGTGATCCTAGCAATGGACCACCTTGTACTGGAGATAACTCAGTACAGTAGTGCCTTTATTCCAGAGAAGAGAGTTTGTGTGTGTGGAGAGAGGGGGTGTCCTGGGTTGTACAATCACAAAAAAAAGAAAAATTCCAGACTGATGGTAATAAAGCTGGAGACAACACCTGTCATGTTATAGGTTAAGAAGATAAAGATGGTAAAGGGGAAAGTGACATTCACTAAGCAAATCATATTTGCCAGATACAATTCACAAGAACTTAACACACATTCTGTAACTGAATCCCACATTTAACTCATGAGATAGCTATCATTACTCACATTTTACAGAAGAAGAAAGTGAAAATCAGAAAGGGAATTTTTTTTTTTTTTTTTTTTTTTTGCCCAGGGGTTAACAGTTAGGAAGTTCAAGTGGGAACTTGTACACAGATCACATACTCTTTCCATTATGTCTGATTGTCTCTATGATTGAATATTTATTAGCTCCTGACACCCTTCAAATCTTTTTTATTTGTTCTTTTTTTGAGTATAGTTGACACACAATGTTACATTAGTTTCAGGTACACCACATAGTGATTTGACAAGTTTATACATTATGCTATGTTCACTACAAATGTAGCTACCATAATATCACTATTATAATATCATTAACTATATTCTTTTTTTACTGTGCCTTTTATCCCCTTTTATTCCCTAACTGGAAGCCTGTATCTCCCACATCTCCTCACATATTTTGCCCATATCCCCACTCTCCTCCCCATCAGTTTGTTCTTTGCATTTATGGGTCTGATTCTACTTTTTGTTTATTCATTTATTTAGGTCCCACATATGAGTGGAATCACATGGTATTTGTATTTATTTATTTATTTATTTATTTATTTATTTATTTATTTATTTATTTAAGGGAGAGAGAGAGAACAAGAAAGCACAAGCAGGGGAGGGGCAGGGACAGAGGCAGAGGGACAAACAGATTCCCTGCTAAAAGGGGAGTCTGACCTGGGGCTTGATCCCAGGACCCTAGACCATAGCCTGAGCTGAAGTCAGACACTCAACTAACTGAGCCAACCAGATGTCCCAGTATTTGTCTTTCTTAGCCTGACATATATCACTTAACATAATGCCCTCTAGGTCCATCCATGTTTTCTCAAATGGCATGATATTTTACTCCTTTATGACTCTGTAATATTCCATTGTGTGTGTGTATGGGGATGTGTGCGAGTGTGTGTGTGTATATATATATATATATATAATCACCTTCCTTACCCATTTGTCTATTGATGGACACTTAGGTTGCTTCCATTCTTGACTACTGTAAATAATGCTGCAATAAACATAGGGATGAATATATCTTTTCAAATTAGTGATTTCATTTTCTTTTTTTAAAATTTTACTAAGTTATGTTAGTCACCATATAATACATCATTAGTTTTTGATGTAGTGATCCACGATCCATTGTTTTCGTATAGCACCCAGTGCTCCAGGCAATATGTGCCCTCCTTAATACCCATCACTGGGCTAACTGATCCCCCCACCCCCCTCCGCTCTAAAACCCTGTTGGTTTCTCAGAGTCCATAGTCTCTCATGGTTCATCTCTCCCTCCAATTTCCCCCCCTTCATTTTCCCCTTTCTTCTCCTAATGTCCTCCATGTTATTCCTTATGTTCCACAAATAACTGAAACCATATGATAATTGACTTTCTCTGCTTGACTTAGTTCACTTAGCATAATCTCCTCCAGTCCCATCCATGTTGATATAAAAGTTGGGTATCCATCCTTTCTGATGGCTAATATTCCATTGTATATATAGACCACATCTTCTTTATCCATTCATCTGTTGAATGGCATCTTGGCTCTTTCCACAGTTTGGCTATTGCGGACATTGCTGCTATGAACATTGGGGTGCATATGGTCCTTCTTTTCACTACATCTGTGTGTTTGGGGTAAATACCCAGGAGTGCAATTGCTGGGTCATAGGGTAGCTCGATTTTTAAATTCTGGAGGAACCTCCACACTGTTTTCCAAAGTGGCTGTACCAACTTGCATTCCCACCAACAGTGTACGAGGGTTCCCCTTTCTCCCCAACCTCACCAACATTTGTTGTTTCTTGCCCTGTCCATTTTTGCCATTCTAACTGGTGTAAGGTGGTATCTCAATGTGGTTTTGATTTGGATTTCCCTGATGGCTAATGATGATGAACATTTTTTCATGTGTCTGTTAGCCATTTGTATGTCTTCTTCACAGAAGTGTCTTTTCATATCTTTTGCCCATTTTTTTTGACTTGGTTATTTGTTTTTTGGGTGTTGAGTTTGAGAAGTTCTTTATAGATCTTGGATACCAGCCCTTTAACTATAGTGTCATTTGCAAAAATCTTCTCCCATTCTGTAGGTTGCCTCTTTGTTTTGTTGACTGTTTCCATTGCTGTGCAGAAGCTTTTTATCTTGATGAAGTACCAAAAGTTCATTTTTGCTTTTGTTTCACTAGCTTTTGGAGATGTATCTTGAAAGAAGTTGCTGTGGCTGATGTCGAAGAGGTTATTGCCTATGTTTTCCGCTAGGATTTTGATAGATTCCTGTCTCATATTGAGGTCTTTCATCCATTTTGAGTTTATCTTAATGTATGGTGTTAGAGAATGGTTGAGTTTCATTCTTCTGCATGTGGCTGTCCAATTTTCCCAGCAACATTTATTAAAGAGACTGTCTTTTTTCCATTGCATGTTTTTTCCTGCTTTGTCAAAGATTATTTGACCATAGAGTTCAGGGTCCATATCTGGGTTCTCTATTCTGTTCCATTGGTCTATATGTCTGTTTTTGTGTCAGTACCATGCTGTCTTGGTGATCACAGCTTTGTAATATAGCTTGAAATCAGGCAAGGTGATGCCCCCAGTTTTGTTTTTCTTTTCAACATTTCCTTGGTGATTCAGGGTCTTTTCTGATTACATACAAATTTTAGGATTGTTTGTTCCAGCACTTTGAAAAATTTCATTGGAATTTTGATTGGGATGGCATTGAATGTATAGATTGCTCTGGGTAGCATAGACATTTTATCAATGTTTAGTCTTCCGATCCATGAGCATGGAATGTTTTTCCATCCTTTTGTGTCTTCTTCAATTTCTTTCATGAGTGTTCTGTAGTTCCTAGAGTATAGATCCTTCACCTCTTTGGTTAGGGTTATTCCGAGGTATCTGATGGCTTTTGGTGCTATTGTAAATGGAATCGTTTCTCTAATTTCTCTTTGTACAGTTGCATTGTTAGTGTATAAGAAAGTAACTGATTTCTGTGCATTGATTTTGTATCCTGCCACATTACTGAATTGTTGTATGAGTTCTAGTAATTTGGGCTAGGAGCCTTTTGGGTTTTCCACATAAAGTATCATGTCGTCTGCACAAAGAGAGTTTGACTTCTTCTTTGCCAATTTGAATACCTTTTATTTCTTTTTGTTGTCTGATTGCTGTTGCTAGGACTTCTAGTAGTATGTTGAACAATAGTGGTGAGAGTGGGAACCCTTGATGTGTTCCTGATATTAAGGGAAAGGCTCTCAGCTTTTCCCCATTGAGGATGATATTCGCTGTGGGTTTTTCATAGATGGATTTTATGAACTTGAGGAATGTTCCCTCTATCCCTATACTCTGGAGAGTTTTCATCAGGAAAGGATGTTGTATTTTGTCAAATGCTTTTTCTGAATCAGTTGAGAGGACCATATGGTTCTTCTCCCTCCTCTTATTAATTTGTTCTATCACATTGATTGATTTGTGAATGTTGAACCACCCTTGCATCTCGGGGATAAATCCTACTTGGTCATGGTGGATGATCCTTTTAATGTATTGTTGGATCTTATTAGCTAGGATTTTGTTGAGGTTTTGAAGTCCATATTCATCAGGCATATCAGTCTGAAATTCTCCTTTTTGATGGGGTCTTTGCCTGCTTTGGGGATTAAGGTAAAGCTGGCCTCATAGAATGAGTTTCGAAGTTTTCCTTCTGTTTCTATTTTTTGAAACAGCTTCAGTACAATAGGTATTATTTCTTCTTTGAATGTTTGGTAGAATTCCCCAGGGAATCCATCAGGCCCTGGACTCTTGTTTTTTGGGAGGTTTTTGATTACTGCTTCAATCTCATTACTAGTTATTGACCTATTTAGGTTGTGAATTTCTTCCTGTTTCAGTCTTGGCAGCTTATAGGTTTCCAGCAAGGCCTCCATTTCCTCCAGATTGCTCAGTTTATTGGTATAGAGTTGTTGATAATAATTTCTAAGAATTGTTTCTATTTCCTTGGTGTTAGTCGTGATCTCTCCCTTTCATTCATAATTTGATTAATTTGGGTCCTTTCCCTTTTCTTTTGGATAAGTCTGGCCAGTGGTTTATCGATTTTATTGGTTCTTTCAAAGAACCATCTTCTAGTTTAGTTGATCTGATCAATGTGTGTCTGGTTTCTAATTCATTGATCTCTGCTCTAATTTTAATTATTTCTCTTCTAATGTGTGGCTTAGGCATCGTTTCTTGCTTTTTCTCTAGTTCTTTAAAGTGTAGAGTTAGTTGGTGAATTCAGGATTTTTCTATTTTTTTGAGTGAGGCTGGATGGTTATGTATTTTCCCCTTAGGACCTCCTTTGTAGTATCCCATAGGTTTTGGACTGATTTGTTTTCATTCTCATTGGTTTCCATGAATTGTTTAAGTTCTTCTTTGATTTCCTGGTTGACCCAAACATTCTTGAGCAGAGTGGTCTTTAGCTTCCAAGTGTTTGAATTTCTGCCAAATTTTTTCTTGTGATTGAGTTCCAGTTATAAAGCACTGTGGTCTGAGAATATGCAAAGAAAAATCTCAGTCTTTTGGGTCGGTTGAGACCAGATTTGTGACCCATTATGTGGTCTTTTCTGGAGAAAGTTCCATGTGCACTCGAAAAGAATGAGTATTCTGTTGTTTTAGAGTGGAATGTTCTGTATATATCTATGAGGTCCATCTGGTCCAGTGTATCATTCAAAGCTCTTGT